TTTCCTAATGACACTTTTTCTTCCTGTTGATTTCTTAAGTAAATAATATGTGTTTGTCATTTTTTTCTTAAAAGAAACTCTGCCACAAATAAAGGGCACTATGCTCCATTCACATGCCATCACCTCAAGAATATAAACAATTATAAGAATATAAAGAATATAAAGACTGTAAAGAGCAATTAAGAAGACTAAGAAAGATCCCGTACCTTAAAAGTTCTGCAGTTGAGTTGAGTTCGTCAGATACTGACTGTCAAGAGCTTCCACCTAGTTCACCCTCGTTCTAAGACATGACAGTTTCCACCTGGGGCGGCTAAAAGGCATGTTCTTGGAGCAGTGTCTGTTTCTTCTGACATTATAATTGATCTCATCAGTCTCACTGGAGGCTTCTGTGTACCATGTTTTGTGTTCTGGTGACCTCATAGAAGGTCTGCAAGCTGAGTATTTCAGACATTGGCCTGGTCACAAGCTTTCTGCTAACTTGCAGGACACGTCTGTAGCAGCCTAATGCAACATCTAAGGAAGTGACAGGGGGCCCACCATGTTTTTCAGTTTCCTCACCCAAAAGGGCTTAACAAACCACTTGTGCAATTAGAGCTCAAATTTTAAACTACTTCCTGCTAGGAAATACAGCTAGTACAGACAGCTAATCTAGAATAACTTTACCTGAAAGATCCTTTGAAAATAAATTGTTTCCGACTGAAGTTACTGCCAGTCAGCTACTTATCTGTGGTTCCTCATTCCAGCAGAGCTGTTTGCATGGTTGCATTCTCGGTCACACTTGTGAAATGAGCTGGCATAAAGAAAAAGGACATTCTGTTGTAGCTATTTTAAGAGTAGATCATTTCTCCACTGAGCCTCTCTCTCGAGAAGCTACATAAACAGTGGGATCAATTTAACAGAGCGGACAATAATGTTTAATGGAGGAAAAGGGAGATGAGATGCTCCTAAATGAAACACATATTGCTGTATTAAGGAGGAAAGGAATAGACTGAGAGAGACAGAGGGAGGGGGAGAGAGGGGAGTAGCAAGAGACAGAGGGACAGACTGATGGCACTAAGTTGAACAAGCTTAAGGAAGATCCCTGGAGAGCAGATTGCAAGAGCTCTTCTTTGTTAACAAAACTGAGCTGAGGATCGTACTTGTGAGGTTGGATGAATGTTCTCTTGGGCTACAGACTTCCTAGCCTATGTTTTTTGGTCCTTCCGCACTTTGTTTTAAGTCAATAGAAAGCTATAACTCAAACTAAAGTCTAAATAAATGTGGCTGTTTCATTTATTGTGTGTCAAAATAGAGTGTTCAGCTATTTTCATACAATTCATACAATTCATACAATTCATACAATTGCAACATTTGCCAGGAATTTAAAGTTATAATATAAATTAATTAATGCCAAATTAAAGCTGAGCTCATGCCTTCTTGAAACTCCTGTGAAAAATATGAAATATTTCACTGCACTAGGTGCAGTTGTGTTTACATCAGTATGTAAATCCAGGAGCTTGCTAATATTTAACATCGTTGTATTTTGAAATATTTATGGAAGCTATTATGAAAATAGTACTAAAAGATTTATTTATAATGCAATCAAGAATTATTACCTAAATTGTAAGTAAAATTCATGTTTGAACATGAGAATAAATATGAAAGACCTAATTATTTACTTTAGGACACAAAATGACTAATCAGCAGTTATTTTTTCCAATCTGCCCTCAATTTTCATGCCCCCTCCTGTTCTGCATGCTCACCCTCTCCCATAGAGGTGGTCAGCCTTCCATTTCCTGGCTAAGTGGATACAAAAATTGTTTTGACATTTTCCTAAATTAGATCTCTGAGGAAAAAAAATCTGAGATCCATTTCTATTTCTAATAATCTATTCTGCTTCTATGGAAATAGGGCATGTAGTCACATCCAGTGTCCCTGACAGTCCTCTAGCAAAATAAAAAGGGTTTGAAAAGCAAATCACTTATGTGTTTTTTGGGGGATAAGCAATGAAAACATAAGTGAGTATCCAGCCTTTGAATGAAAATTTCACATCCTTACACAGGAGTTGCCTGCATGATGAAAGCAGTGGCGTATCAGCACTAAGCTCTCCATTACTAAGCTTATTTGTAATACCAGTGACTGTTCAGTCCTTCTGACTTCTTTTTCTTTCAGGTCATGACAAACTGATTCGTTTGTGGTATCCTGCTAGTAATAGTAGGCCTACAGGAGAGCTATCAGGACACCAACACAGTATTGTGGAAATTGTGATAAATGAAAAAGACCAACATATCATCAGCCTTTCTTCTGCAAAGGTAAAACACTGTTCCTAACTTCATGGAAATCAATCCTATAAATGCAAGTAGGAATTTGGTTTTGATTAAATACTTCTCATGTTATTCTAACCTCATTGCTTATCAGTTCATTTATTTTAATGTAAAGGTGAAGTTTTAGCTTAAAATTTCCAAATTATTTTATATTGAGAAGCAAGACTAGAATAGAACTATTCAACATATTTTCTGCCTGAATGGGACAAAAAAAATACTTAGAAAAGTAGGTACGAACATTCTGGTAAATTCTGTATTACTTTAGCAACTGCCAGAATTATAACATTACCTGTACCTGAATGCTTCAGTCATTATCACCTGCAAAAACTTCCTCCAGCTTCATTTACTATTCTCTCTGCCTGTCAGCCTACTAAATCCATAGGTGCAGTTTTTCTTATACTGGTGACTCTATACATCATGTTCAACTACTGACATCTTCCTGAACATTGCCTTTCGCAAAGTTTGTAAAGGTTTGCCAGTAAATACCATGTCTTTAATCCTATTCTTAACCCACATCCTTCTAAAAGTTCTACTAGCCAAAAATAATTCATGAGAAATCTAATAATAATAATAATCTAATAATATCTAATAATCTAATAATAATTCATGATAAATTTCCCATTTCCTCATAATCGTGGATCCATAACCATTCCCCCTTCCTCACTCTGGTAAATCTATACCTGTGCTGTAGTTAATTGTGTGGTTGCTGAAGGCATATGTTACTGTAGAAATAAGCAGGGTTTTGACAGATAGGCTGCAAGCTATAGATGTAGGAAAAATGGAAGAAGACATAAGATGACTTAAGGGGAAATGAACATACATGAAGATATTTATAGAAAAGCAACTAAGAACGAAGCTCCTGGGGCAGTAAATGACCAGATCTTTTAAGGTCCCTTCTGGGCCTTTCTGTGATTCAATATGATGACTCAAAAGGAAGAAAAACCTATTTTTACAAGTCTCCAATTACATTGACACCTGATCTTAACTAAGTGTGGCTGAGCTGTGTCAATGACATCAGTAAAATCACTTGCACATGAAAATGAGTATGTAAAAGTATATTTTAATTAAAAGCTATGTGTATTTAAACTGCAGTGAGTTATAAGGCACAAATTACACTTTCCAAAATATAAATAGAGATAAATTCCTAAACTTTCAAAAGTCAGGTAAATCTTACGATCATAGTTAAAAACTCTATCAAAAAAGAAGGGATCCCTCAAAGAGAAATCTAAAGGACTTTACAAATAAAGTGACAATCACTCTGTGTCTCAAAGAATTTACAGTCTGTAGATGATATAAGATATACACAACAGCAGAGGAAGATCAGCTCTAACAAGATTGCTTCCAACATGGTTAAAGCACATTTCTGTTTGTATGGACAAGAACCAGGTATTACACAAAAGTGTCCAACCAGCCAGGAAACCTTTAACCTTAGGTTAAACACACAATTTGTGTCCACCTAAAAGACAGAGACAAATTTGCTATATGCCTATGACAAATATGCCTAGCATAAGAAAGATCAAAATAGATTTTTTTATTTTGTTTTCATCTTTCAGTGATTGTGGCATAGGAGGTTGCTGAGGCAAAACAAGTAAATATGTATCTTCACTGAAAATAAGTTAGAGAGGTATTAATGATCTCATGGTAGCATTGCAACCAAGGGAAACAAAATCTCTTTATATTCAACAGATTTTGCATTAACTGTTTGACAGAATAGCACAACTGGGGAAAAGCTTAGGAAAATTAAATTAATACTTTTTCTATACATTCCCAAAATAAATTTAACGTAATACCAGTCAGATATTCATATTTAAATAAAACCTTTGTTATCATGCCATTTTTTCAGCTACAATATAGAGCAAGATAAAATGTAGGGAATGCTTTTTTAAAAGTAAGATTTCTAATTGATGTATTATCACATTTGAAGGCTCAGACTGCTTTTATACTTTATGGCTATTTTTCTTGAAATATATTGAAAATTTACAAAATTACTGTAAAGATGTTTTTATGCTATCTAAATGACAAAGCTTCAAAACAGCACCATAAATGTAAACTTAAGTCTAACGCACTAGGGAAATATTTTTCTCTGATGACAACCTGAAAGAAGATTGTAGTACTTCTGTCACTGTTGTGTTAAACACCATGATCTTTAGGTAGTTGTGTATTCACAGACTGGGGTATTAATTATACTGTCAGGGCTTCTATCGGAAATGCTTATTGTTAAGACCTTCTCTGTAATCCTATGTCAAAAATTGTAAATAGAAATAAGAAGGGTTTTTAACACAAGGCTCAGTGTTATGCACTGGGGGAGATTTTTCCAGTGCTGTAACTTGAATGAGGAAGTAAAATCACACAGTCATAGAATCACAGAATCATGGAATAGTTTTGGTTGGAAGAGTTCTTCAAGATCATCAAGTCCAACCTTTGTCCTAGCCCTATCAACACCAGTAAATCATTCTTCTTAGCACAACATCCACTCATCTCTTAAACACCTCCAGGGACGGTGACTCAACCACCTCCCTAGGCAGCCTGTTCCATTGCCTGACAGCTCTCTCAGTAAAGAAATTCTTCCTAAGTACATTTTTGCCTTTTAGTTTTAAGGACTTTTAGCATATGTTTTATTAGCATTGTCTGCAAATAAAAACCTGACAGTCAGATTTTCTGACTTTTCCAAATTTACTCAAAACTTAATGTTATCGGTGTCCAGTCCTCTCTCTCCAGATCTGTTTAATGGCAAACTGGCTGTGTGATATCCCAGTGGGAAGTTATAAATGTCTTTTGCCTGTTTGGAACTGAGCAGGTGATTGTATCAATGCCTGTGTAAGTTAGTGTGGAAGTTTATCTAACCTATTTTGAAAGCACATGACATTGTTTTAAGGATATATTTATAATACAAGCATTTGTCTTCCTGAAAAATGGTATCAGCTGATCTGGAAGCACAATGTTTAATTTATGTCAAACCATTGCTAATTGCGGCTGTTACTTCAATGGACTAGGTAATCTAGGTAATTTGAAAAAAAGGCTTTGGGAAAACTGCTCAAGTCATCCTTCACAGAAATTATGTGGTCACATCTGTATCAAATACATTTTTTTGCACTGCTTTAGAAGTCAAAGTTAATCCTTCCCTTGGTGCTGCGCTTTTCTATCTTCAGATTATTTGATCCTCCCAGATATTAAGAATTTTATCCTCTTCTTATATTGCATAGTCCTCCATAAACATTTACTATTCTTTTTCAGACTTTTCATGTAACTTACCCCATTTTTAGTTATTTCCTTTCCTATTTTCCATTATTCAAATTACTTTGTCTGTGGGTAGTCTGCAAAAAATGCCAACAAAATCAGCCTACAGAACAGAAGACTCAAGAGAGATCTCATTAATGTATATAAATATTGGAAGGGAGGGTGTAAAGAAGAAGGTGCCAGGCTCTTCTTAGTGGTGCCCAATGACAGGACCAGAGACAATGAAAACTAAAACACAGGAAGTTCTGTCCATACATCAGGGAACACTTCTTTTGCTGCGCAGATGACTGAGCACTGGCACAGATTGCCCAGAGAGGTTGTGGAGTCTTCATCCTTGGAGATGTTCCAAGGACATGGTCCTGGGCAGCATGGTCCTAGGTGGCCCCATCTGAGCAGTGGGGTTAGACAAGATGACCTCCAGAGGTCCCTTGCAACCTCAGCTGTTCTGTGATTCTGTGAAAAATAAAAGGGGATTAGAACTAATTTTAAATGTACTTTTTTGACTTATACCTCCCTTTTTCTCCTCTGGTTCAAAGACTGAAATGGTGTATAATATATATGCATACTTACAACCAGCATGGTTGATGAAAATATCTGTCCTAGCCATGGTTGTATCTTTGCAAAATGATGGTTTGTTTCTTAGTATGTCTGAGAATGCTCAAATTTCCTTCATGAACAAATTGTCCTCATGTATTCTCAGCAAGCAGGAAGGAAATGACCTATTAGATGCTCTGTTTCTGGACAAGTATTTGATGGTTAGAATATTAAATAATCTGTATTTCCTGCAGATGGAAACGGAGCGAGATCTGTATTCAGCCTATGTTGATTTCTATAGTTTTTCTATCAGCAAATTGAGATCTAGGGTTTAAGCTATATTCAAAATAAATTTACAGACCTGTAGTTTTCTGGTTGCTTGCTTTTCTATGGAGGAATGAAGAGAAAAGGAGTACTTCAAAATGTAAGTGAAGTATTGTATACCTGAAAGCTACTTTAAACACTATGTGTAAGGTGAGAGCATCATTCTAAGAGTGACTGAAGGTTGACAGGAGGAACTTGACTGGTGTTTGAGCTCTTCTGGTCCAAGTGTTCATGGGCAGTCACCTCTGTCCTACATTGTTCTTTGGAATTGCTGAGGGTTATTTTGTCTTTCCATTAGGGGTCAGGTAGGTCTATTGTCAGCACACTCAGCACACAGAACAGAAACAGACATACAGAGCTTTTACACACCTTCAATCATTGCATAGCACCCAGTAAGTATCCTCCAGGCTCATTAATGTACTATTAGACTCGTTGTTGCGTATAACCCAGTTTGATTTCTCACCAGCATTCCTCCACATTTGGGAAAAGGAAAATAACCTTATCTATTACCAGGTTAATGATACTGTCTGAGGAAGTGATATGAAATGTTCATGAATTTGAACTTCGCCAAATTAGTTTCAATAAGGCACTAGTTATGGTACCATCTGCTGCACCACATTGCATTAATATACTTAGAGGTAAATCCTCCTTGCCTTAGCCTCACAAGTAATGCCACTGACATCAATTTGTTCCTAAGTCTTCTAATAACTACAGGGAGTTGCAGTACTTTGCAGGATCACCTTCAGGGATCACAAGACACACAACAGCATTCTCTGCAGATAACTTACTCTATTAAATACCACACAAGCAGAACTGCAGTGTGACCTCTGCCTCACGCCAGTGAGGAGTCAGATATTCTGTGTGACTTCACACATTTTTTCACTTAGACCATA